TGATTATTTCCCCCCCCCCCAATACAGCAGTTTCCGTTCACTTCTGTTATCTCCTTTTGCAGTACTGAAGATGTCCTTGTTCTGGTTTTATCTGCCTCTCCATCTTCTCCTGGCAGCTTGCTGGTGTCATTCCATAAAAGCACCCAACACCAGCTCCCAACAGAACTTCAAGACCGATCTCTTCAATTTCTACCACTCCCTGATACTTGCTGATGGTAAGGAAACTACAGTTCACCTGCTGAAAGATATACCGAAAAGGTAAGAGCATTCACTCCTCCGACACTTCCCTACGACCCTGGTAGCTGCATGCTACGAGTAAGTCTAGAGTTGTTACGCACCTGCAGAACTCTGTCAGCATCCACTGCATTGCCAGAGAAATACCCCACTGCTGTCAAGCTAAGTGTCATTGCACTGTCCAGAACCTGGAATGACCCTCTGAGATGAAGTTTAGATTCCTGTATGCATTTCAGACGGCTTTCTTGCGGTGTTAAGAGGAAGAGCAAAGCTGATATAGAATGCGTGGGCTCCAACAGCAAAGAGTTATGTCACATAAACAGCCTGGCTTCAGAACCGCAGAGACATCAGCCATTCTACACTCACAGTAAAACACAAGACTTTTACCTAGCAAACTGACTATCCCCAAAACGCAATAGAATACCTGCACAGACTTATCAGAAAAGCTTCCGCCACTGTCCTGCATGCTGGAAGTGTTTCTGTGGAATAGCACTAAAGCTTGCTAAGATCAAAAGTGCTTTGCATGCAGAAATTCCACAGATTCTTTATTTCCCCAAAATATCTGCAGAGTTTTCTGCCATATGTAGACATGTAGGTAGGTGATCTAGATAACACAACTGGCATCACATCTTGGGTAGCAAAGACTGATCTACTTTGGGGAGAGATGCACTTCAGGTGGTTCAGTCAGACTCCACCTGGGACAGTGACCAAACCCATCCAGATTTTGACATCCACCCGAGCAGAGTGGTTATGGAGCAGAGAGTGAGCCTGAGTCTGTCTCCACGTTGCACAGGAACTGGGACGCAGCTCATGTTATGTCACGTGACAGTGTTCACGAGAGCAAAACTAGGACTTCCCCTTGTTTAAAGGCAAATGGGTATTGCAATTTCCGAGAAAAGTGGATTTTACTATGCTTTTGTGGCACAGCATTAAGACTGCAATTAGGAAGCAAAACCCCCTTGAGTTTAGCACGATCAGGTAAGGACCTTCTGAACCCCAGAGTCATCCAAACAGGAAACCAAGAGATGACAAGTTTTGGCTTCAAGTGAAAGACTCAAGAATGTGAAACTGTTTGCAGTGAAGTTTGACTCTGGCCCAGCAGCCATATCCTGAAAGTAAGCCAGACCACTAGGCTGACATGATCTATCCATAATGACTAGGCTTGTCTCACTAATGAGCATAAAAAACCATCTTGAATTGCCTTCATTTAACTGCAGAATGAGTGACCCAAGTCCAAACATTTCTGTGGCTGTATACAGTCCGTATACACCAAAACAACAGAAGTAAACAGACCAAAGGAGCGAGACAGAAGTCTGGGCTTTGTTAAGCAGGAATTGAAACCTGACCGAGTAGACTGAGGTCACTTTGTACACAAAGAGGCACAGCTGCCTCTGTCGTGAAGGCAAGCAAATCAGAACTGGGCTGGATGAAACTGCCGTTGGCATCTGATAATGTTGAGGACTGGCTAAACCCATTCTGTTACATCTACTTCATCTGACACCCAGCAAGACCTAGATAGGCAAGCACCTAAGAGGGAGGATGGCCTCCAAGAGCCTTCACTGAACCCCAGTCAGGAAATCCTGGGAAAAAGAGTATCAAATTGCTCAGTTAGCCATCAGGTGGTTATCTAGAAAGCAGCCGGTTTAATCACATCCATCATTCAAAATAACCAGGTAAGTACTCGGATACAATATTCACCTGAAGTGTGTTAAAATTCAGTGGGAAAAATACTGCCTATGGTAAGTGAATAAAACTTCCAGCAAGTATCTGTGGATTAGAAAAAAACCCGCAGCACTTATTCTTCCCACAGGTGAGGATTTCAGACATTCACCATACCCTTCTGTTGATACACTTCAAAGGGCAGCAGTCATTTCTCCCCACAGCGGAGTGACCCGCATCGTGGCTGATTACAAGGAGGCTCAGGCAGATCTGAATTTCCTGACACTTAACTCTGTTTTTAATCCGCACTTGCAGATACTACTTTATTTTGGAGGAAGGCAGAGCCCTTTCACCTTTCACAATAACAGTGACCCCCTGTGACGTTCCCATCGAATGGAACATACTTGTGCACAAGACTTCAGCAAGTTTCCCTGGAAAAGCAGCGCGAGGTGAGACCTTCAGTCTGCCTGAGCAGAGACAAAGAAAACACAAATTATTCAGGAGTTGTGTTACAGGAAATTCCCCACAAGCTCAAACATCTCATGCTTCCCTCTCCTGTAAACTGCCACGGGCTGAAGGGGACATCCCTGTCTCTGTGGGTGAAACGTGGGATTTTGCCATCAAGTAAATTAAGGATTACATGTGAAAAAAAAAACAAAAACAAAAACAACCTAAAGCTAAGGTTAATATTTGCAAACAGCCCTGGGTTTCATGGCTCCACAAACACAGATCAGCCTTGTAAGACGTACTGGTCCAAACTTCCATCTGCTGCCTCAGCTCTTTTTCTGTGGCTTAGATCACTTGAACCAGTCATTTTGCTCCCCACAGGGATGCGGAGAAGGATTAGCTGTTTATTTTTATAGGAATACCATCTACCGTGGCAGTGGGCATTATGCTGCCTTTAGCCTAAGAGGAGATTCCATTCACTTTGATGAGTTTTAAAATTAATCTTTCAAACTAAAATCTGTTCTTACTTGTCGGGCAGGTACACCTGACTGAGGAGTTCAAATAACGTTCCTTCGAAGTGATAAATTTTCCCTCTTCATAGGAGACAATGGCACAAAACTAAACCAAAGAAAACTCCTGTCACAGAAAGTATGAGTCTCCTTGAAGTAAAGTACCCAAAGAGATAGCCACTGGAAGAAGAAAACAACTGTAGGGTTATCAGGCACAATACACGTCAATCTTTTGCAAATTGTGGTTATATAAGTATAGTCTTTTTGAAAACATTATTTTGTAACCGCACTGTTAAAATAAAAGCTACACATTGTTTTTTAATAAATTTCCAGTAGCAAGAAGTATTTTTAGTCATAATTATTGTTTTCAGGAAGAAAATACAATGTTCCCTGACATACAGAACAATAAAACCTATGCAATGTGCTTTATTTCACATCTGTTAAACAGAAGTTACAAGTCTGCTTTTTGCCTGCAGGTGATCACGATACACGAGACATCTCAAAATCCCAGAGGTCTCCAAGCATGGTGTCCACCATTTTTAGCTACAAGGGAAATTCTGTAGAGACTTACATGGGTGTGTCTTCTCATTCTGCCCTTTATATGCTGGAGTTCTTATCCACCGAGCGAGACACACACATTACTGTGTACTTAGCGACAGACACAACATCTGGGCACCTCTATCCAGAGCTTCCAATGGATCCACGCATAGATGTCATTGGCATTGGGCATACAACAGTGACTCTGACCTGGAAACACAGTCCCTCTGTCTTGCAACATAGAGAAAACATCCAGTACTGTCTTCTAGTTAATGAAAAACACAACTATAAGAGCTTATGTGCTGCTGAGACAGCAATCAGGTCCTCTGGGATGAAACTGCCACCTACGTTGGCTTTGTCTCTCTCTCCGTACCTGCTCGAACCGCAGCAGGTGATGATATTGTCCAACAGCGAATTGAGCATCATCAACAAAGTGAGTAGTGGGGAGGTCAGGCAGACGTGCGTGGGTGCCAAGAACACTTACACAGTGCCCAGTCTCAGTCCCAGCACTCAGTATTACTTTGATGTTTTTGTTGTCAACCTCCTCACAAATGCCAGTGCTGCTTACACCGGGGCATTTGCAAGAACCCTGGAAGAACCTGAACCTAAGGTGATGGAGCTGAAAGATGGGAAAGTGATTCAGGTTGTCCTGGATGGGAAAAAAAAGAAATTCTACAGCCTGCAGTACCAGGCAAGGCACAAGAAAATACAATTCACCTTTCAGTTGTGTCGTGGCCAAGTACGGGTTCACATAACGAAGAACAGTAAAATAGTGGCATCAGAAAATATCTCAGGGCTGAGGTATTTCTCACTGAAGGGAAAGCTACTGGACACATATTTGGTGCAGCTGAGGTCAACAGAGGAATCTAACTCTTCTGTGAAAGTACAGGCATCCCCCCATTTCCACAAGCCCTTATTCCCGCTTCTTCCAGAGAGCTTAAAAATCAAGTCCTTCAGTAAACTGAGGACCTGCAACTCTGTCACCATTGCCTGGCTAGGAACACAAGAGGAGAGCAAGTACTGTGTGTACAAGAAAACAATCGAAGAAGATCAGATCTGGATGGAACTGCAGAGTGCGGACAGGTGCTCCGGACCCGAATCCCGGCACAAGTCAGAGAAAGTGCTGTGCAAGTATTTCTACGATACGAATCTCCAGCGAGCCGTCACCACAGAGACCATTACAGGGCTGGATGTGGGCACTCTTTACTTGTTTGATGTTTATCTCTTCGGGCCATCTGGCATCTCTGTCAGATATCACAGCAAAGTTGTGAAGACCAGAAAAAAATGTTGAAGGTTTTTGAAGCCATGTTTTGAAGTGAATGAAGACTATTATGGCCGTAGCCCATCCAGTTTAAAATATGCTGACACATAAAAAAAAGGTAAAGCCGTGAGATGGTGCGGAGGCAACATCTTAGTTGTCATTATGCTCACTTTTGCATCTTCTCTCCTGTATAAGGTGTTTTTTTCCCCTCAGCTGTCTCATTCAGACATCAAAAACAGACCTGTGAAACAAATCCATGCCTGTGGACATAAATATCCACAACGGCACCCACGAGAAATAGATTGGTTACCTAAAATGCTTCTGAAATCCGGTACAGAAATGTCATGAAACGCCTCTCAAGAAGCACACGTGATTATTTTAAAGTCCCAAAGAGTTTTCCACTTTGTGTAACTCCATCAGCTAATGAGGAACTGAGAGACCCCACAAGTCAAGCTGCTCCTGAGAAACTGAACTTCCCTGCCGCTTGAATAGGGACAGAGACAAAATGAAATTTTAAAGAGCAGTGGAACTGGTGTAACGCACCACACCTCGAGTAAAGCAGCCTGAAATACATCTTCCCCTATCATCTGCATGTTTGCTTGGCTTTCATTTCTATAGAGAAACTGTGCTTGGTTAGAAACAGGCAAAATTCAGGCCAGGAACTGGATTTTCTGGGGAGTACGCAAAGACACTGCTGTACTTCTGCCGCTGAGGAAAGCGGCAAGTAAGGAATCTTGCCATGGAAAGGAGGATTTTATCTATAATCTCCGATATCAAGTCCATGTCTATCACTGTGTGACTCCTAAGCGGAACACGCTCACTCTTAACGTCCTTAGCCCAGACTATATCAATGAACACATTGCTATAGGAAAAATTTAATGTGGTTTACCCATTAGATATCATGGAGGGAAAATATTTGTAGTAAAAATCCTGACAAACACTTCTTTTCTTGTCTCGTTTCCTTGATTACCTTCCTTAGATGACAAGAGACATAGTATTAAACAAAAATTTTAAAAATTTAAAGTCTTCATAAAAAAAAAAAACCTCACACTCAATTTCAATTATCAGCAGAAAATACTTTGTACATAGGCTCTGGGCAGGTCTGGAATTTACCTATAAAGAGATATGATAGATTCACTGACCCAGAGATTGACAGAGATATCTTGCCAGCTTTAATTATTTTTCCTTTAAATATACTAAGCAAAGATATAAACGATTAATGCCATTATTGCACATCTCAGAAGTTTGCCTGCAATTCAGGGTCATCAATTCTGGTTTATGCTGAATAATTATTATCTCCAAGCATGCTTGGAGGCGTTTGGCAAGGACTGAACCAGCCCTCCTGTGCATCCACAGAGGATGGCGCGGCGCCTGCTCCAAAGGCTCCGTGGCCCTGTGAGCACCGTGCAGTGCGTGCCACACGTTAGCAAACTTACCAGTCCCAGAAGAAGGGTCCTGGCCTTCACGTGGAATCAGTTAGTGTCTGGGCTTTCGCTCGGCTCTGCATTCCCGCAGGCGCTGCTGTGGACTGAGCAGTGCCGTGGCAGGAGCCATGTGCTCTGTGACCTCCTCCCCACACTCTGTGAGCCTTTTGGCTAATTACAGGGGCTGGCAAGTACACTGCCTTCTTTCCAAGGCAAGCCTTGGCTTCATTTTGTTCCTGCCAAAAATAGGCTGAGCTCAAAGAGCAACAGAGGTCATCTCCATTTGGAAGTCTTAATGTTTTCTCCTGCTTTCCTCCTCAATTTCAGGCATTTATATTCTGGGCGGACTTCACGTAGATACCCTACAAATGACTGTAATAACCATAACGGAGGAAGATCTGTTTAACTACAGATACTATATACTCTTAATCCACTCCCCTCGGCCTGTCGGAGCATTAACCCTTGCTTTTGCCCTCTGCACACAAACGCCACAAAAACATCACCTGGAAGAGGAAGATACACCAGCACCTTGCCTGATAATGGTGCCTCTACTGAAGAATATCTTTCGCCACAGAACCGGCTTTAGATTTCTTAGCAAAACCTTGGTTAGGGCTGTAGCCAACTGAGGAAGGGATAGAGGGAGAGGAGAGGGCAGAAAGAGCTGAGCACTCAGAGGTGATACCTAAGCAAAGGCTTGGAGCAGCACCGAGCTGACTGACAGTTAATCAGAACCTGAGGGAAGGAAGTGCAGGCTTGGCAGTCAGCAGATGTTTTAGGGGGACTTTGGGAAGAGCCAAGATATTGTCCCCTTTACAGCTTCACTCCCACTCTCCCTGGGCATTGCCACATGCGGAGGAGAGGCTGAGGCAGTGAGGAGCTCAGGAGACGACAGCTTACAGCTCCTGCAGCCCAGGCTGTGGCTACTGCTCCTGCTGGGAGGGCTGCTGCTAGTCCCTTGCTCGCAGGAGGAGCTGCCAGCCCACATGCCAGCCCCTCCGTAAGCAAAGGCCCCTGCGCAGGAGGGAGAGCTTGGCTCCAGAGAGGAGCACGCTATTCTGTCAAATCCCATCGCCTCTAATACAAGCAGAGCAGGCAGCCTGCCCTCCAGGGAGCAGCCCCCTTCCGTACGCGTGCAGCCAGCCACGGTCCGTAACAGACCCCGGAGCAGCAGGGAACCTTCCTCTCCATTGATCTTTGCACTGTGGTTCTGCCTGCGTGCACCGGGCCGCCAACCCGTTTGCCATTCCCTCACGCCCATTTATATGTTGAGTGTCGCTTTGCTGACTGCTGTCCTGGGAGTGAAGTTTCCCAAGTTTATCCACAACAAAACCAAAGGTGCTGCACTCACACCCTTGGTGCTCTTCCTACCCCTACCTACTGCTCACATGCACAGCTCCCCACGTTCAACACTCAGCAGCCCTCCTCTTTCAAAGTCGTTTGGCATCTTCCCATCTCCTCTCCCTCCCATTTGACTGTTGCTTGCCTTTTCTCAAGCCACATTTACCTCCTTTCTTTTCTTTATGCTTTCTGCAGTCTTTCTTGCCGAATTTCTAGGGAAGCTCAATTCCTTCAGTCCAGCCTGTCCTAAGCTGTCATCAGCTCTTTCCAACTGCTCCCCATCCCCATGGAATCGCAATCACACAGGAGAAGATTTCAAGAGCAACCCGTTGCTTTTGTGGATCATTTAAAGTCCTCAACATTATTATCAACCAGGCCAAAGTATTTCTCCTAATGTTCAGTGGTGGGTCCCAGCCTTTATGTCCTTCCAGCTATTGTACCTCAAGTCCTGCCACAGCTGAAATCAAAGCCTGAGGCCATGCATCTCTCTTCCCAGCATTTTTACAGGCTTGCTCCCATTGCTAAGCCACACGTCCACGTGGGGAGCAAGGGTCAGGGGTACCAAAACCAGAGGGCAGGTAATAAGAGAAAACAGGTTTTATATCCATGTCCCCTTCCCCCGCGGGCTCAGCCTCACAAATCACCACCTGAATTCTAGAAATGAGGGGCAGGTATCTTGAAACGGGGAAATAATGAAGCACAGGCTTCTAAGTCTGCCATTGTGTACGCCTGTAAGCTGCAAACCAGTACAGCAAGATGCTCTTTAGCATCACTTTCCAGTATTTCATACAACCGCTATTGCTGGAAACTCTAAAATGTAATTTAAGACAGTATTAATTGCTCATTTAAGTTACACACTTTGAAAAATAGTGCTACCAAAAACCAGTGTAGAAGTTCAAGGACTGATGACATTTATGAGTTAATATTTAACTGACATTGAGATTCATCTCTTGTCATTTCTTTTTCCTCCAGTATTTAACAGCCCATTTATTCATTCTCTGTTATGTTGAGTTTCTTAACAGCTGTAACTACCTTTCAAAGTGAACCTGGTCCTCTTTTAGAAATTGTTCCCTATCTACCACAAATACATTCAGGGAAGCACTCACAGCTCTCCACTTTTTTTTTTTTTTTTTTTTTTTTTTTTTTTTTTTTTTTACACACTTCATCTTTGTATCTTTGCATGCTTTTTCTGGCTAATGGTTCCCACTCAGACTTGCTTCTCGCTTAAGCGACATGTTAAAAACAGTTTTGCTATTTTTGCCCCAGGTGCTGGACTGAAATCCTGCTCACTACTCACTTACCAAGAGAGCTGATGTGTTTGTTTCCATGTTACACATCAGAGCCATTTGGGGCTCCATCACTGTTGTTGGGTTTTGGTGAGTGGTGTTCATGAACCACCGACACTGCAGTTCAACATCCTGGCCACATGTAGCTTTGCACAAGGCTTAAAAAAAAAATCTAATTTTAAAAGTCAGATAACATTAGCACTGACAAGTACAAACCATTGACCCCAAAATGCCAAAGGCTTTCACGTGCTGTAAAGAAACCGAAACTCTCTGGCATTTAGGGAAACATGGATGAACACTCATTCAGCAAAATAAAACCCAGGCAAAACGAAATAGTTTATTGTATCTTTGGGGGTGAAGGGGAACAAAAGACGCACGGCTGTTCATCACTGTTACCTACTCTCCATATGCTGGATTGAGAAATCAGTGTAACAAAGCACAGACAGGTGAATGCATTTCTCCTGCAAGACAACAGGTATTTCCTGGGCAAATCTGGCACAGAACATTAAGAAAAAACATTGTAAAAAGCAGCTAAATTTACTAGAAGAAACAGTATGTCACATTCCTGCATTGCATTTTTTTCTGCCAAGAAACATGATATAATTCGTGGATGAGCCCAGAGGATAGCGGGCTAACATCCGCTGCTGGCATGAGCTGCAGTTGCTCCAGCAACCAGTGCTGCCAGGAGCTGGGTGAGCATCCGAGGCAGCGCACGAACCGCCACCCTGCTGCCAGGCCCACCGTGTGAGAAGCAGAAGGAGCTTACTTGATAAGACTTATCAGAAGCAAATATTTCCGCAAATTTAACAAGCCAAGCATCTTGCTGATAAGATTAAGGCTGAAGAGATAGAAGAAAAATCCAAGGAGCTTACATTGATTTCTTTTAGCCCGTCGAGTGTTCCAAGTTTCGAGGTTTATTTTTTTGTTTAAAATTAAAGTTCATAAAAATCGACAGCCAAGGAACAAAAAAAAAAAAAAAAAAAAAAAAAGAGATAGGCACTTGCTGATAGGACTGTAACATCAGTGTTCCCACTGCCTCCAAGGTGTTCATGACTGCCATCGCTGACAGGGCCAAAGCTCCTATAAAACCGAAAGATACGGTGGTGCCGAGGACAGTCACAGGGAGTTAAAGCAGGGACTGCTAGTTCAGACATGACCTGTCCCAAGTTGTGATTCCAAGCACCCCCTGACAACTCTACCTTCTCCAGTAGCGCCCTTGCCCTGAGGGAGGTTCTCTGGGATGTAACTTCCCTGTCTGACAACAATTGCCAGCAGTTCACCTCCCACCGGAGCTGGATGTCTCACCAATACTCCGGGGCACGGGCAACAGACCCTGGTTTGCCAGGGGTCACTGATCTTGTGGCCTCCGCAAGACACTGAGGATTTGCTTACAGGAACCAAGAGCCGTCCCTGGCAACCTGCATACCCCGTCCCGTACTGCCTTTGCTCTGAGGAAGGTTCTCAGCAATGCTGCTCCAACACCTCAACCGCATGAAATTATTTGAGCAAGGACTGCTTTCCCCTGGCTGGCAGCAGCCATAAACCGAGGGGTAAGCTCCAGAAAGCTGTTTCTTTTTGCAGGTGTTAGCATCGGTGACACAGGAGAGTCTCTGAGAAGGTGACCTGGGAGCTCAGTTTGAAAAGGGTTTTTCAGACTCCTAAGGTAACTTGCTCTGAAAGCAGAACCCAGGAGGAAAGGAGGTCTTCGGAGGCCGGGGTGGGAGCAGAAGAAAAGCAGGAAGAATCTGAAGATAATGAAGTAAAATTTTACTTTGTCAGAAGCTTCTAAGGAAAAGAAGGGCCCAGCTTGGATCTACATTTTTCATCCGGCTCCTGTTTTTTTAAGTTGGCTACTACTCAGCCTTTTTGCCTGGACACAGGTTTCTCCAGAATTT